TTTTGAAACAAGGTAAGGCTTTTACAGGCACTGTAAAGAATCAATTAACAGCAGCTAAACTAAACAAGGTAAGGGGTTTAAGGTCCTTGTATAAGAATAATTAACGCACTAAATAAATAAATATGTTTAGCCTGTTAACATTGTGAGTGACTGCGTTTTGGTCTTTCTGTCGTGGAGTGAGTTCGCTAGTTTGCTTGCCAATTTTAGTAAGCTACATTAGCACTAGCTTGCAGCTACATTAGCTGGCTAGTTACGCTAGTATCCAATATACTGTATCTTCCCCTTTCATCTGCGCAAGCAGCCCCAGCTGCCACTTTGTTGTTTCTTCAATGCAATTAGCTCCTAATCTTTAGCTAATATATTTGCGTATGTACTGTAAGTAAAGAGTTTGGCAGCTGCCTGACTCCTAGCCGCGCATGCGCCGATGCTAGCCCTCTTGAGGCGCGGCTACCTGAATCGCAAATCAACCCCCATAGGTCCTACCCCTTAACCTGACTGACGCGCGAGCCACGTGACTACACAGCGAGCTGTGAAGAATTCGAGAGGTGTGAGTCAGACTACTACCCCCCTAGGCACTTGTTAAGATCTAAAATATATATATATATACCTCATTATTTACAACCTTGTTACGCCTGATAGGTAAACATTGTTGTGGTTGAAGATCCTGCCCTCTAGGCCAGTTAGCTAGCTATAGCTAATCCTCTGAGATCTTCACGTGCTTAGGGTAGTGGTGAGGGGTTGATTTGGAATTCAGATGGCTAGCATATTATCACTTCAAGCTATTTTACTTCTATTTACAGATCACTCTCTTTCAGAAAATGGACACTCGTTTCACGAGAGGAAAGTCAAACATCCTGGAACGGCCTCTAACCCGTCCCAAGACTGAAGTCAGTGTGAGTGCCTTTGCACTGCTCTTCTCTGAGATGGTGCAGTACTGCCAGAGCCGCGTGTACTCTGTGTCCGAGCTGCAGCAACGCTTGGCAGACATGGGTCAGAGTGTTGGCGCCAGTATGCTGGATGTGCTGGTGCTGAGGGAGAAGAATGGGAAGAGGGAGACCAAGGTGCTTAACATACTGCTCTTCGTCAAGGTATGTGCTTGCATGGGCTCAAGGTAGATAACAGGTTCATATGTAACAGTCTCATAAGGTGTAAGACAACTTGTCATTATGCCAATGCATAAGTATAATATATAAATATATAATATGCCATTTAGCAGACGCTTTTATCCAAAGCAACTTACAGTCATGCGTGCATACATTTTTGTGTATGGGTGGTCCCGGGGATCGAACCACTACCTTGGTGTTACAAGAGCCATGCTCTACCAGCTGAGCTACAGAGGACCACAGATTGTCTATAATTTTCAATCTGCTTCATATAGGTGTCAGTATGGAAAGCCATGTTCGGTAAGGAGGCAGACAAGCTGGAGCAGGCCAACGATGACGACAAGACCTACTACATCATAGAGAAGGAGCCACTGATCAACGCTTACATCTCTGTGCCCAAGGAGAACAGCACACTAAACTGTGCTGCATTCACCGCTGGCATCGTAGAGGCCATTCTCACACATAGTGGCTTCCCTGCCAAGGTCACAGCCCACTGGCACAAGGGCACCACGCTCATGATCAAGTTTGATGAAGCTGTGATAGCCAGAGACAAGGCCCTGGACGGCAGATAGGGGAGACAGGAGTGAGTGTTGGTGTACACATGATAGAATAAGAGAATGATGATGCAGATGATCATCATTATCACTATTAGGTCTCAATTTGAGTGAACGAGCCTGTAATGTGAGATGTGGACTGAGTGAATGAGTGGTCTGTCTGTAGGCAAGTCTGCATATGAGTAGTTGAGTTGTGAATATACAGTATCTTGAGAAGTGAAACAGAATGTCTTTATATCACCACATGAGAGACTAAATATGAATGAATGATTACTCGTTAAGCCCAATTCGGAGCTATTATATTTATTTGGTCCAAGAAAAGTCCATATGAGACGACATTTATAAAGGTAAATGTTTCTTGTGAATCTCCTCAGTCAGTCAACCCTTATCTAATGACTGACATTCTCACTGACAGTGTATCTTAAACCAGCTCTCAAGACTGCATAGGACATATGTGAATGTCATCTCTTTTGTTTTTGATATCTCAAGACATTTCAGAATCACACAAAGGACCAACACATTGAAGATATGGGCTGCAGTATAATACACAAATATGTGCAATGGTTTACCCTCCAACTTTGAGTTTAACATGGTGCAATTAAAGACTGTCATTGTGTTCCCTAAACAAATATGACGTTTTAAGCTATTATTCAAAATATGTGAAAGTTATCAGTGGTCATATCCATAGAGCATTGTGTTGGCAAAAATTTCCTGAGTTAGGGGTTTGTAGGTGTAGTTTCATTCTTCACCTTTATTTGTATTGTTTCTATCTAGACACGTTTGAAATACTTGTACTGTTTATCACCGTGTGTAAGCATTTTAGCAATTAATTGATATTAAAAGACTTGAGTAATTCTAAAGATCAGGTGATCATGTGTAGAAAATCGATGAATCCAGGGGTGTGTTCAGTTCGTTTGAACGTTTGCTACGATCAACGATTTGTTTTTCAACTGGTCGTTCAGTATGGCACCGTTTCCGTTCAATTGAACGTTCTATTACGTTTTTATGCACTGAACGCAGCCTAGCTTTGATCATTTTACTATCAATGCAAGGGTGGGGCTAATGGGGGCTTACAAACGCTATAACGAATTAGATATTTTGAGACCAATTAATTTTCCAGACAACATGTCACATGGTGATTGTCATGTGACCATTGGACGCTGCGGCTTTGTGATTGTCGGCAGAGCCCATATTCTCTTGTAATTTGTTTCCTCAATGTTTAGCTTTCGGACAGTCCTAAACAATAATTTATATTAATTTATTATTGTATTTATGCTTATGAATTAATGTCCTGCAAAGCATCGCCATGGCATCATCGAACTGTAACTGCATCCAAGACGGTACAGGTTGGTAATGTATTTCAATTTAAACTAAAGGTGTATAAAATAACTATTTTCATAAGGATAATGTATTTGTTGTATAGTGTTAAAAGAGAAGGCTGCATGTCATCTGTGAGTGCTCAGCATTGCAATAGGATGATAATAGGCTAATTGTATGGCAATAATGCTTCCATTGCTGTATCATACCTAGCCCAAGAATATACTAAATGTTCTTTTCAGAAGCGAATTGGCAGCCAAAACAGCCAAGTAATCCATCTAAACGTGAATCGATTCTTGCGGTACGGTTCTAGAAACATTAAGCCCTCTACTTTAATATCACATCAAAATAATTTCAAAAATGCAAAATATACACTTAACAGCCGATAGTATTTTTCAGTTACAACACGTTTGTGGCGTCCTTGTTCCCACACAGGTGTTGGGAGACGCAGATAGATAATTAGCACAGGTAGTCGCCTCTGTTTTCCGTAAACAAGCGCTGTAACTTGGAAATATGTCCCTGTGGGAACCCTAACCCTATAAAGGTTTATTAATTGATTTTTTTTTTTATGGAAAAGTATTTGTTGATATGAAAGTGAAGTTCCATATGTTTCCAAAACTGTATCCCTTGCAAGGCCTATTTGCTTTTAGAAAGAGCTTCAGGGCTCTGTCAGAGCCTTGGACCGCCCCAGCTAACAGACGTTCCCACAACTTTAGAGAATGTTCCCTTAATGGTCTCTTTAGGTCATTAACTAACTTTTTCATTGGGATGTGCAAGGAATGTTTCCAAGAGACCATCCCCTTAATGTCAAATAGAACTTGGTTGCCATGTTCTCCAGAATTTAAGATATTAATGTTCTAGACACGTTTCATAAACATTCATGTGTCCAGTTTTCTGAGGGTTAGGAGAATATTCCATCAATGTCCCACCAAACATACACAGAACCTGGTTCTCAGAACATAAGTTAATGTTCTAGATGCGTTTCATGGGAACGTTGCAACAACATTTCTGTGTATCAGTTGTCAGGACATCGACTGATAGGCCAATAGTTTTCTGGAAAGGGCCTAACTATATTGGCCCATTAAGCACATTACATTTACATTTACATAATTTAGCAGATGCTCTTATCCAGAGCGACTTACAAATTGGTGCATTCAACTTATGATAGCCAGTGGGACAACCACCTTTATTTTTTGTTTTTATGGGGGGGTGGGGGAAGAAGGATTACTTTATACTATTCCAGGTATTCCTTAAAGAGGTAGGGTTTCAAGTGTCTCTGGAAGGTGGTCAGTGACTCCGCTGTCCTGGCGTTGTGGGGGAGCTTGTTCCACCATTGGGGTGCCAGAGCAGCGAATAGCTTTGACTGGGCTGAGCGGGAACTGTGCTTCCGTAGAGGTAGGGTAGCTAGCAGGCCAGAGGTGGATGAACGTAGTGCCCTTGTTTGGGTGTAGGGTCTGATCAGAGCCTGAAGGTAAGGAGGTGCCGTTCCCCTCACAGCTCCATAGGCAAGCACCATGGTATTGTAGTAGATGCGAGCCTCAACTGGAAGCCAGTGGAGTGTGCGGAGGAGCGGGGTGACATGAGAGAACTTGGGAAGGTTGAACACCAGACGGGCTGCAGCGTTCTGGATAAGTTGAAGGGGTTTAATGGCACAGGCAGAGAGCCCAGCCAACAGCGAGTTGCAGTAATCCAGACGGGAGATGACAAGTGCCTGGTTTAGGACCTGTGCCGCTTTCTGTGTAAGGTAGGGTCGTACTCTGAGAATGTTGTAGAGCATGAACCTGCAGGATCGGGTCACTGCTTTGATGTTAGCGGAGAACGAAAGGGTATTGTCCAGGGTCACGCCAATGTTCTTTGCACTCTGGGAGGAGGACACAATGGAGTTGTCAACCGTGATGGCGAGATCATGGAGCGGGCAGTCCTTCCCCGGGAGGAAGAGCAGCTCCGTCTTGCCGAGGTTCAGCTTGAGGTGGTGATCCGATATCCACACTGATATGTCTGCCAGACATGCAGAGATGCGATTCACCACCTGGTTATCAGAAGGGGGAAAGGAGAAAATTAATTGTGTGTCGTCTGCATAGCAATGATAGGAGAGACCATGTGAGGATATGACAGAGCCAAGTGACTTGGTGTATAGAGAGAATAGGAGAGGGCCTAGAACTGAGCCCTGGGGGACACCAGTGGTGAGAGCACGTGGTGCGGAGACAGATTCTCGCCACGCCACCTGGTAGGAGCGACCTGTCAGGTAGGACGCAATCCAAGAGTGAGCAGCGCCGGAGATGCCCAACTCGGAGAGGAGGATCTGATGGTTCACAGTATCAAAGGCAGCGGATAGGTCTAGAAGGATAAGAGCAGAGGAGAGAGAGTTAGCTTTAGCAGTGCGGAGAGCCTCCGTGACACAGAGAAGAGCAGTCTCAGTTGAATGACCAGTCTTGAAACCTGACTGGTTTGGATCAAGAAGGTCATTCTGAGAGAGATAGCAGGAGAGTTGGCTAGAGACGGTACGCTCAAGAGTTTTGGAGAGAAAAGAAAGAAGGGATACTGGTCTGTAGTTGTTGACATCGGAGGGATCGAGTGTAGGTTTTTTGAGGAGGGGTGCAACTCTCGCTCTCTTGAAGACGGTAGGGACATGGCCAGTGGTCAAGGATGAGTTGATGAGTGAGGTGAGGTAAGGGAGAAGGTCTCCGGAAATGGTCTGGAGAAGAGAGGAGGGGATAGGGTCAAGCGGGCAGGTTGTTGGGCGGCCAGCCGTCACAAGTTACAAGATTTCATCTGGAGAGAGAGGGGAGAAAGAAGTCAAAGCATAGGGTAGGGCAGTGTTAGCAGGACCAGCGGTGTCATTTGACTTAATAACATTTAGATTTACGTCATTTAGCAGACGCTCTTATCCAGAGCGACTTACAAATTGGTGCATTCACCTTATGATAGCCAGTGGGACAACCACTTTACTATTATAATTATAATTATTTATTGTTTATTTTTTTTATATCTATAATTTTTTTTTCATTTTAGAAATGTCTTTCAAATTTGTATATCTGTTTTTTTTAAAAGATTTTTTTTATTATTTTTTTATATATATATATATATATATATATATATATATATATATATATATATATATATATAGTTTATTTTTATTTTTGTTTATTTATTTTTGTGTTTTTTTGTAAATATTATTATTATTGAATGTTTTATTTTATTTTTTGTGTGTGTGTGTGTTGAAAATGGTTGATGAAGTCATCCACAGAGAGGGATGAGGGAGGGGGAGGAGGAGGGGGATTCAGCAGGGAGGAGAAGGTGGCAAAGAGCTTCCTAGGGTTAGAGGCAGATGCTTGGAATTTAGAGTGGTAGAAAGTGGACTTAGCAGCGGAAACAGAGGAAGAGAATCCAGAGAGGAGGGAGTGAAAAGATGACAGGATCGCAGGGAGTCTAGTTTTCCTCCATTTCCGCTCGGCTGCCCGGAGCCCTCTTCTGTGAGCTCGCAATGAGTCGTCAAGCCACGGAGCAGGAGGGGAGGACCGAGCCGGCCGGGAGGATAGGGGACATAGAGAGTCAAAAGATGCAGAAAGGGAGGAGAGGAGGGTTGAGGAGGAAGAATCAGGAGATCGGAGGGAGAAGGATTTAGCAGAGGGAAGAGATGATAGGATGGAAGAGAAGAGAGTAGCGGGAGAGAGAGAGCGACGGTTGCGACGGCACATTACCATCGGAGTAGGGGCAGAGTGAGTAGTGTTGGAGGAGAGAGAAAAGGATACAAAGTAGTGGTCGGAGACTTGGAGGGGAGTTGCAGTGATATTATTATTGGGACAGTGGTTGGGGCATTTGTCATTGGTAATGGAGGCCTGGGTTCAAGAACTGCTAGGAGAGTCACCCTACTCTCTCATTCTTAGCAATATACACTGAGTGTACAAAACATTAGGAACACCTTCCTAATATTCAGTTGCACCCCCTTTTGCCCTCAGAGCAGCCTCAATTCGTTGGGACATGGACTCTACAAGGTGTCAATTGTTCCACAGGGATGCTGGCACATGTTGACTCCAATGCTTACCACAGTTGTGTCAAGTTGACTGGATGTCCTTTGGGTGGTGGACCATTCTTGATACACACGGGAAACTGTTGAGCGTGGAAAAACCCAGCAGTGTTGCAGTTCTTGACACACTCAAACCGGTGCACCTGGCACCTACTACCATACCCCATTCAAAGGCACTTAAATATTTTGTCTTGCCCATTCACCCTCTGAATGGCACACATATACAATCCATGTCTCAATTATCTCAAGGCTTAAAGATCCTTCTTTATCCAGTCTCCTCCCCTACATCTACAGTAATTTGAAGTGGATTTAACAGGTGACATCAACAAGGGATCCTAACTTTCACCTGGTCAGTCTGTCATGGAAAGAGCAGGTGTTCCTAATGTTTTTCATGCTCAGTGTATGTTAATGTCATTATTTGGCAACAGTTACAACACACCTACAGTATAGTTGGGCCCTGTTCTGTCCAGAAGAAACCCCTCCTCCCCAGGCACTTGTGTAGATCTGAAACAACTTGATAGGTGTAAGGCTGTAAGCAATTGGGTGAATGCACTTTGAGGTCAATCTCAGCTCTGTTTAAAAGTACACTCAGGAAAAACATTGATTGATCATAGAGAGTCAGGAGTATCATTGAAACAGGTTAACACGCCTCACCAATATTAGACAACTATACTGAAAGCCCTTAAAATGGCAAAATAAGTAAGCCTAAATCAAATCAATGATGAGAATAGTCAGATTTAACCGATACATGACACAGACATGGTGAGTACTGTGAACCAAGAGGTTGTGAGTTCAAATCCCAGGTGAGGAGATGTTGAATAATAATGACTGTATAAATGAACATGCACAATGTAATCATGTATGTCAAAGTGTGTAAAATATGTAAGTTGAAAACACTATGTTAAAAGCACTGTGTGAGTATCCCTAACCTTGCCAACAGACAAAGAGCTATGAATTGATCAGTGGTTCACCAATCAGGGCCTTGATTGACTAGGCAACAGTAACAAGGCGTGATATGTAATTAAGCTTTTTTTTCTGGGGACCATTAGGCGACGTCTTGCCAACTGATACACAGAGATGTTCTTTCAACATTCTCATGAAATGTGTATAGAACATTAATTTATATTCTGAGAACATTGCAAACATGTTCTGTGTATGTTTGGTGGGACGTTAATGGAATATCCTCCTAACCCCTCAAACTGGACACATGAAGGTTCCTGCAATGTTCTCATGAAATGTGTCTAGAACATTAAGATCTTATTTTCTGAGAACATGGCAACCATGTTCTGTGTATGTTTGGTGGGACGTTGATAGACTATTCTCCCACCAAAACATGCTAAAAATGTTCTCAGAAGGTTTTTGCTAACATAGAATGTTCCCCTAACTAATGGAAAACTGGACACTCAAACATTAGGGGAACATTACGGATAACATTACAAAAACGTTCTCTCCCTAGAATTGTTAGCTGGGGCCGTCCTCAGCAGGCAAACATCTTCATGAATAGACGTGTGTGTGTGTACAGTGCATTCGGAAAGTATTCAGACCCCTTGACTTTTTCTACATTTTGTTACGTTACAGCCTTACTCTAAAATTGATTTAAGGCACAGACATGTATATCTAAGGTCCCACAGTTGACAGTGCATGTCAGAGCAAAAACCAAGCCATGAGGTCGAAGGAATCCTCTGTAGAGCTCCGAGACAGGATTGTGTCTAGGCACAGATCTGGGGAAGGGTACCAAAACAGTTCTGCAGCATTGAAGGTCCCCATAAACACAGTGGCCTCCATCATTCTTAAATCGAAGAAGTTTGGAACCACCAAGATTCTTCCTAGAGCTGGCCGTCCCGGCCAAACTGAGCAATTGGGGTAGAAGGGCCTTGGTCAGGGAGGTGACCAAGAACTTGATGGTCACTCTGACAGAGCTCCAGAGTTACTGTGTGGAGATGGGAGAACCTTCCAGAAGGACAACCATCTCTGCAGCACTCCACCAATTAGGCCTTTATGGTAGAGTGGCCAGACGGAAGCCACTCCTCAGTAAAAGGCACATGACAGTCCGCTTGGAGTTTTCCAAAAGGCACCTAAAGGACTCTCAGACCATGAGAAACAAGATTCTCTGATCTGATGAAACCAAGATTAAACTCTTCGGCCTGAATGCCAAGCGTCACGTCTGGAGGAAACCTGGCACCATCCCTACCGTGAAGCATGGTGGTGGCAGCATCATGCTGTGGGGAAGTTGTTTAGTGGCAGGGACTGGGAGACTAGTCATAATCGAGGGAAAGATGAACGGAGCAAAGTACAGAGAGATCCTTGATGAAAACCTGCTCCAGAGCGCTCTGGACCTCAGACTGGGGCCAAGGTTCACCTTCCAACTGGACAACAACCCTAAGCACACAGCCAAGACATTGCAGGAGTGGCTTCGGAACAAGTCTCTGAATGTCCTTGAGTGGCCCAGCCAGAGCCCGGACTTGAACCCGATCGAACGTCTCTGGAGAGACCTGAAAATAGATTTGCAGCGACGCTCCCCATCCAACCTGACAGCGCTTGAGAGGATCTGCAGAGAAGAATGGGAGAAACTCCCCAAATACAGGTGTGCCACGCTTGTAGCGTCGTACCAAAGAAGACTCGAGGCTGTAATCGCTGCCAAAGGTGCTTCAACAAAGTACTGAGTAAAGGGTCTGAATACTTATGTAAATGTGATATTTCAGTTGTTTATTTTTAATACATTTGCAAAAATGTCTAAAAACCTGATTTTGCTTTGTCATAGTGGGTTATTGTATGTAGATTGAGGGGGAAAAAACAATTTAATCAATTTTAGAATAAGACTGTAACGTAACAATGTGGAAATAGTCAAGGGGTCTAAATACTTTTCTATTGAATGGGCTATATCATACCTACTGATCCAATGCATGCTTGAATTATGTCGTTTATAGTAAAATTATAATACCACATCACTTTCCCACTTACTATTTTTCAGCAGCAATATCAAGCTGATGAATGCCCTTTTCAGATATACCTTCCCTATGTTGTATGTAGGAACCCATGTCTGTCATTAATTCTCTCTCAGAGAAGGATGAGCTGTTCTCACCTGTGAGCAGCTACAGCTCCCATGACCTCAGTGGCGGGAACCCCCGGCTCACCAGTCTGGTAGGCTCAGAGCTCCGGCAACAGCAGGAGGAGGAGGCACTGCGGAGGAAGCTCAAGTACTTCTTCATGAGCCCCTGTGACAAGTACCACGCCAAGGGCCGCAAGCCCTTTAAACTGGTCCTGCAGCTGCTCAAGATCCTCATCGTCACTGTACAGGTGGGTCTTTACTGAACGGAAGAGTTGGTATTCATGATGGGGCTTCTCAGTTGATTTTGATGATTGTTTTAACCTTTAATCCCCTGTCACTCCCTTCTCTAGTTAGTCCTGTTTGGCTTGAGTAACCAGATGGTGGTGACATTCAAGGAAGAGAACACAGCATCCTTCAAACACCTTTTCCTTAAAGACTACCGGGATGGCTCTTCAATGGCAATCCACACACAGAGTGAACTCTATAGCCATATTTATTATGCTATAGATCAGGTACTAGTATCTCAGTACTTCTCAACCCTCTCATTTTGCTCTCTGTAATGCCTTATGTTATTGTTGTGTTTTTAAATTATTTTTTGTCTTCATTGTCTGTCTATATTATGTTTTGCTATTAGTATAACTGTATGTTACCTATTCCATTCATATTTTATTTTCCTCAGTACCTGGCTCTACCACAGACATCAGTGGGGCGGTATGCATATGTGTGGGGTGAGGGTGTGAATGGGAGCGCCCTCTCTCTATGCCAGCGGTACTACAAGAGGGGCATCATCGACCCCATCAAAGACACCTTTGACATCGACCCCCAAGTTATCACCGGTACCCTGGCCGCATTCTCCTTTTTTTCCCCCTTCTGTTTATTAAGTTGTCTATCAAATTCCCCCTCCATATATTTCACATCAAAATCTGTCAGTCTTGGGTTTTTTTTTAATCCACTGCCAGTTCTCTTTGGCCCATAAGGAAGTGACTGTTAATGAGTCAAAGCTCCACATATGTCAAGAGTTGCCCTCTAACTGTGCCCTACTTTCAGTGCTGAGAATAGATCCTGTCCATAAAAAGCACTAACCATATAAGTGCTATTTCCACTACCATCAGCAAAATAATAGTTGGAGAGCTGGCCAAATGGAAGTCTTCTGTTCAATTCACCTCACAAAGATAGTTCATGGGGGGGGGGGGCGGTGCAACTCAATATTAGAAAGGTCTTCCTAATGTTTGGTGTACTCAGTGTATATGGTTCTGGAAATGAAAATCTTCTGGGTTTTTGTTCCTCTCTCGCAACTTCCTCTTACTCCATCCTTCTGTCCTTTTCAGATTGCGTTGGTGTTGACCCACTACCAAACCCTCCTTCTCCTCCTGATTACAGTGACTACAAGAACTTCACTCTCCAGTTTCACAAGTGAGACACCCACACAATGGTCTCCCTCGCTCCCTCTCCCCCTTTTATTCTTGCATGCAATTCCTCATGGGGTTTTGAATCCCATTTTATGCTAATGTCACTCGAGTCATTTCAGCATTGCATATCAACATAGATAGAACATTACTAGGTAACATCACTTCTCTATTGAGATTACATGCATACATTCCTCTTACTGGATCTTGTCTCTCTTCTTCTTCTTCTTCTTCTTGGTCTCCAGGCTAATCAATGTGACCATTCAGTTCCAGCTGAAGGCCATAAACATCCAGACCATCATCAACAATGAAATCCCAGACTGCTACACCTTTGCTATCATGGTGAGATGACCTACCAATTTCCCCTGAACAGTCCAGTCTTTCCGCTATATGCATTTAAATTGTGGTTGCCACTGCAAAAAAGATTAAATGATAAAAACAACAAATTAAATACAAAAATGTGGGATAGTAAAGCGTTTTCAGTGTAAACTTAAGCGACTAAATACAGATATAACGTATGTAGAAAATATATATTGGCACAATATATTTTAAAATAAGATCATCTTTGAGAACTAACAAACACCAAAATAAAAGTCATGGCATGGGGCCCCCATTGATTTTGTTATAATTTTTGAGTCATTCAGATAGCATAAGAACACGGCATAAGCCATGACATAATGTGTAGAATTGCAGGAAATTAGCTTTAAAACAGCAACATTGTCTCAGCGGCCAAGAGCAGGGCCAATAAAACCGTGCCATTGGCTATGCCCACTAGCACGCCACAACCCCTCGCCCAACTTTGCCACCGCTGCTGAAAAAATCCTAGGGGATCACTGCAGCCCCATACAGTCCACTGTATCTTAGACAGCTGTTATAAAGCCAGGATTTGTGTAGCTACGTTTACAGTGTGTATTGTGGCTGCTGTCAGGTTGTCCTGGATAACAAGGCTCACAGCGGCAGAGTGAAGATCAGTCTGCTCAACCATGCTTCCATCAAGAAGTGCAAAGACCCCAACGTGTGGGGACATGGTGAGAGAGGGAGGGATGGGGGGTACTGACGTTTTGATTGGGAGGTAAAGCTTGAGATTGATTCACTTCTTTCCTGCTGTTCCTTACTAGCCGTTTGCCTCTTCCTTCCTTTCACTCCCTGACTTAATTCATTCAAACACCCCTCCTCTCTTCTTCCTCCCATAGCAGAGAACTATGCACGGGAGGCTTTTGACGTGCTGGTGGCCATAGTGTGTCTGCTGTCCCTGCTGCTGTGTGGTCGCTCCATCCTCAGAGGCGTCATCCTACAACATGTAAGACCAAGGCTGAGCCCCAAAAGTCAAAAATGTTGTTACATTGTAATTATACTGAACAAAAATATAAATGCAACAATTTCAAAGATTTTAGTGAGTTATAGTTCATAGAAGGAAATCAGTCAATTGAAATAAATTCATTCATTCATAGGCCCACCCACTTGGGAGCCAGGCACACCCTCTGGGGAGCCAGGCCCAGCCAATCGGAATGAGTATTTCCCCCACAAAAGGGCTTTATTACAGACAGAAATACTTCTCAGCACTTCCTCTCTGTTTATTCCACGGGTTCCCAAACATTTTTGGCCCACGAACCCATTTTGACATCTGAAAATTCTTGCGACCCCAACTACAGTGAGGGAAAAAAGTATTTGATCCCCTGCTGATTTTGTACGTTTGCCCACTGACAAAGAAATGATCAGTCTATCATTTTAATGGTTGGTTTATTTGAACAGTGAGAGACAGCATAATAACAAAAAAATCCAGAAAAAATGTTATAAATTGATTTGCATTTTAATGAGGGAAATAAGTATTTCACCCCTCTGCAAAACATGACTTAGTACTTGGTCAGACATTTCTTGTAGTTGGCCACCAGGTTTGCACACATCTCAGGAGGGATTGTGTCCCACTCCTCTTTGCAGATCTTCTCCAAGTCATTAAGGTTTCAAGGCTGACGTTTGGCAACTCAAACCTTCAGCTTCCTCCACAGATTTTCTTGAGCCACTCCTTTGTTGCCTTGGCCGTGTGTTTTGGGTCATTGTCATGCTGGAATACCCATGCACAACCCATTTTCAATGCCCTGGCTGAGGGAAGGAGGTTCTCACCCAAGATTTGACGGTACATGGCCCCGTCCATCGTCCCTTTGATGCGGTGAAGTTGTCCTGTCCCCTTAGCAGAAAAACACCCCCAAAGCATAATGTTTCCACCTCCATGTTTGATGGTGGGGATGGTGTTCTTGGGGTCATAGGCAGCATTCCTCCTCCTCCAAACACGGCGAGTTGAGTTGATGCCAAAGAGCTCGATTTTGGTCTCATCTGACCACAACACTTTCACCCAGTTCTCCTCTGAATCATTCAGATGTTCATTGGAAAACTTCAGACGGGCATGTATATGTGCTTTCTTGAGCAGGGGGACCTTGCGGGCGCTGCAGGATTTCAGTCGTTCACGGCGTAGTGTGTTACCAATTGTTTTCTTGGTGACTATGGTCCCAGCTGCCTTGAGATCATTGACAAGATCCTCCCGTGTAGTTCTGGGTTGATTCCTCACCATTCTCATGATCATTGCAACTCCACGAGGTGAGATCTTGCATGGAGCTCTGGCCGAGGGAGATTGACAGTTATTTTGTGTTTCTTCCATTTGCGAATAATCGCACCAACTGTTGTCACCTTCTCACCAAACTGCTTGGCGATGGTCTTGTAGCCCATTCCAGCCTTGTGTAGGTCTACAATCTTGTCCCTGACATCCTTGGAGAGCTCTTTGGTCTTGGCCATGGTGGAGAGTTTGGAATCTGATTGATTGATTGCTTCTGTGGACAGGTGTTTTTTTTTTTTTTTTTTTTTTTTTTTCACCTTTATTTAACCAGGTAAGCCAGTTGAGAACAAGTTCTCATTTACAACTGCGACCTGGCCAAGATTGTCAAGGGGTGCTGAAGGTGGGTGTGGTGCATGAATCAAGCGCAGGACGCAGAAGCTCAGTCCAAAAGACTTTAGTGCAATATTCACATAGAAAATAAGCACAATAAGCCCGAAGGCGAAATAACGGCGCACACAGGCGTCAAACAAACGGCGCACTAACATGTGCGAAAAACCTCTCCAAAACACTGGAGGGAAGTACGTAGCTCCAACACAAAACAGAAGAGCAATCACACACAAAGACAAACACACACAACGAGAACTAAATAGGACACTAACGAGGACTAACAAGACACAGGTGTACAACATCAAGACAAAACCAAACAAACATGAAACATAGATCGGTGGCAGCTAGTACTCCGGGGACGACGACCGCCGAAGCCTGCCCGAACCAGGAGGAGGAGCAGCCTCGGCCGAAACCGTGACAAAGATAAAGCAAAGCAGTGCGATAAAAACAACACAGAGTTACATATGGGGTAAAAAACATAAAGTCAAGAATACAACAGAAAATATATATACAGTGTGTGCAAATGTAGCAAGTTATGGAGGTAAGGCAATAAATAGGCTATAGTGCAAAATAATTACAATAGTATTAACACTGGAATGCTAGATGTGCAAGAGATTATGTGCAAATAGAGATACTGGGGTGCAAAAGAGCAAAATAAATAACAATATAGGGATGAGGTAGTTGGGTGGGCTAATTTCAGATGGGCTGTGTACAGGTGCAGTGATCGGTAAGGTGCTCTGACAACTGATACTTAAAGTTAGTGAGGGAGATAAGAGTCTCCAGCTTCAGAGATTTTTGTAATTCGTTCCAGTCATTGGCAGCAGAGAACTGGAAGGAATGGCGGCCAAAGGAGGTGTTGGCTTTGGGAATGACCAGTGAGATATACCTGCTGGAGCGCAGACTACGGGTGGGTGCTGCTCTGGTGACCAATGAGCTAAGATAAGGTGGGGATTTGCCTAGCAGTGATTTATAGATGGCCTGGAGCCAGTGGGTTTGACGACGAACATGTAGTGAGGACCAGCCAACAAGAGCGTACAGGTCACAGTGGTGGGTAGCGTATGGGGCTTTGGAGACAAAACGGATGGCACTGTGATAGACTACATCCAATTTGCTGAGTAGAGTGTTGGAGGCTATTTTGTAAATGACATCGCCGAAGTCAAGGATCGGTAGGATAGTCAGTTTTACGAGGGCATGTTTGGCAGCATGAGTGAAGGAGGCTTTGTTGCGAAATAGGAAGCCGATTCTAGATTTAACTTTGGATTGGAGATTCTTTATGTGAGTCTGGAAGGAGAGTTTACAGTCTAACCAGACACCTAGGTGTTTGTAGTTGTCCACATACTCTAGGTCAGACCCGTCAAGAGTGGTGATTCTAGTCGGGTGGGCGGGTGCCAGCAGCGTTCGATTGAAAAGCATGCATTTAGTTTTACTAGTGTTTAAGAGCAGTTGGAGGCTACTGAAGGAGTGTTGTATGGCATTTTATACAGGTAACAAACTGAGATTAGAAGCACTCCCTTTAAGAGTGTGCTCCTAATCTCAGCTCATTACCTGTATAAAAGACACCTGGGAGCCAGAAATCATTCTGATTGAGAGGGGGTCAAATACTTATTTCCCTCATTAAAATGCAAATCAATTTATAACGTTTTTTGACATGCGTTTTTCTGGATTTTTTTGTTGTTATTCTGTCTCTCACTGTTCAAATAAACCTACCATTAAAATTATAGACTGATCATTTATTTGTCAGTGGGCAAACGTACAAAATCAGCAGGGGAGCAAATACTTTTTTCCCTCACTGTATGTGGGAAATAAAGTATGTAATTAACAGCCAACCTTTAGTTTTTTAATTGGGGCTATGGCAGTCAATTGCAAAAAATTCTAACAGTATTTCTGATTGTATTCTCAACTCACCATCTTATACTTTTAAGGTGGGGCTATGAGAGTCAATTGCAAATTAGTCTGACATATTTTCTCTTATCTCACCACCACTAATGAGATGGGTGTGCTTGATGCATGTTGAGTCGGACCTTCTCAAAGTCAGGGGGCGTGGTCGACAGTGCACACCTCATCTCTCCTGTTACATCCAACCTGGATCGATATTTATTTTTAATGCAGACGAGAGCACTGAATCAGCGTACCATGAGTCCCTTTGAGTTAGTACCCAAAACTCCTCCATAGTGACCCATGAATTCGTTGTCTGCAGCATTCGATCACATGACCGCTCGATCAGCTGTTCGATTTCACTTACCGGCATGTCAACTGAGCCAGGATCACAGTCAAACGGATTTCGCTGATTCGGTCACTCATCTGTAGATTTTTGGGGGGGTATTTCCCCTGCATGCTTGCGTCCAGATTGTTCAGTTTCCCAAATATGTATGTTACATAGGCAAGGAGACACATTTTCTTTTCATTACACAAATTCAACAAAGTCTGTTTTTTACATCCATTACTAATGACAACAGTTCCTTTCTCAATTAAAAAAATATTTACAACACTCCCCCTCGATAACCACCAAGCCTTGGTGTGAAATAGAACATTGCTCTGATCCCATATCTCCACATAGTTTTGCGAACGGGCGTGCGCGATATAGTTTACAATCGAAGTTACCTGCTGCATATATCCGAGTTCTGCGCTCAGCTCTTTTGCCGCCAGTTGCTCTTGGTGTATCCATTATAGCTCAGTGGGTGTATCATACAATGCAGCCATATGGCAGAGGGAGACACATTCATAACTAAAGTGCAGAGGCCTGCCCGCCATCCTGCCATAGATGGAGCCTCATCTGTGGCAAAAGCCCACCATTCGATCCCATGGGATCTCTTTTTCGTCAGTATAGCCAGCACACATAAGGTGGAGTTTTTTAGTCATTGTCAGTTTACTCTTGACTGCTAGCTATAACATCAATTCTTAATTTCAGTGTTATCAGACAAAGGTATTGATGTGTGTTTCTGTGCCTCTGTCGCCCCACATTTTGTTTTCACCTCATCAATTGCGGCTGGTAATATCAGTCTCTGCAATAGTGTGTTGTTTCATAGCGTAGCGGGCTTAGACGTTCACCGTGGGAATGATTCAAGTGCAACGGTCAAGTGCAGCCTTTTCCCACAACCTAAGGTCGCTCTCTGGTCAAATTTTAACTTTTAGATTTGAATAATTTTCATTTAGATTTTTAATGTTAACCACCTTATAATGATTTTGAGAGACAAAGATGGTAATATACAGTGCTATGAAAAAATGTATTTACCCCCTTTCTAATTTTCTCTACTTTTGCATATTTGTGATACTGAATGTTATCAGATCTTCAACCAAAACCTAATATTAGATAAAGGGAACATAAGTGAACAAATAACACAACAATTACATATTTATTTCATAAACAAAGTTATGCAACACCCAATTCCCCTGTGTGAAAAAGCATCCCCAAACCATCACACCACCACCACCATGCTTGACCTTTGATATGATGTTCTTACTGTGGAATGCAGTGTTTGGTTTTCGCCAGGCATAATTGGACCCATCTCGTCCAGAAAGTTGACTCAAGTTTGCCAAAAAGCACCTGGATGATCATCAAGACTCTTGGAAGAACGTTCTATGGACAGAACCTTTTGGACGACATGGTTCCAGTAATGCCTGGCGAAAACCAAACTCTGCATTCCACAGTAAGAACATCATACCAAAGGTCAAGCATGGTGGTGGTGGTGTAATGGTTTGGGGATGCTTTACTGCCTCAGGACCTGGACGACTTGCCTTAATAGAAGGAACCATGAATTCTGCTCTGTATCAGAGAATTCTAATGGAGAATGTCAGACCATCCGTCTGTGAAGCTGAAGCGCAGCTGGGTCATGCAGCAAGACAATGATCCAAAACACACAATCAAGTCTACATGAAAATTGCTAAAAAGCAACAAATTGGAAGCCTAGTAAAAGTCCGCACCTAATCCCAATTGAGATGTTGTGGCAGGACTTGAAACGAGCAGTTCTGCGTGGAAGAGTGGGCCAAAATTCCTCCACAGCGACATGAGAGACTGATCAACAACTACAGGAAGCATTTGGTTGGAGTCATTGCAGCTAAAGGTGGCACAACCAGTTATTGAGTGTAAGGGGGCAATTACTTTTTCACACAGGGGAATTGGGTGTTGCATAACTTTGTTTATGAAATAAATATGTAATTGTTGTGTTATTTGTTCACTTATGTTCCCTTTATCTAATATTAGGTTTTGGTTGAAGATCTGATAACATTCAGTATCACAAATATGCAAAAGTAGAGAAAATTAGAAAGGGGGCAAATACTTTTTCATAGCACTGTATACCTACTCATTCAAGGGTTTTTCTTTATTTTTACTATTTTCTACATTGTAGAATAATAGTGAAGACATCAAAACTATGAAATAACACATATGAAATCATGTAGTAACCCAAAAAGTGTTAAACAAAGTAGCCACCCTTTGCCTTGATGACAGCTTTGCACACTCTTGGCATTCTCTCAACCAGCATCACCTGGAATGCTTTTCCAGCAGTCTTGAAGGAGTTCCCACATATGCTGAGCACTTGTTGGCTGCTTTTCCTTCACTCTGCAGTACAACTCATCCCAAACCATCTCAATTGGGTTGAGGTCGGGTGATTGTGGAGGCCAGGTCATCTGATGCAGCACTCCATCACTCCTTCTTGGTAAAATAGCCCTTACACAGCCTGGTGGTGTGTTTTGGGTCATTGTCCTGTTGAAAAACAAATGATAGTCCCACTAAGCGCAAACCAGATGGGATGGCGTATCGCTGCAGAATGCTGTGGTAGCCATGCTGGTTAAGTGTGCCTTGAATTCTAAATGAATCACAGACAGTGTCACCAGTGAAGCACCATCACACCTCCTCCATGCTTCACGGTTGGAACTACACATGCGGAAATCATACGTTCACCTACTCTGCGTCTCACAAAGACACAGCGGTTGGAACCAAGAATCTCAAATTTGAGGACAGATTTCCACCGGTCTAATGTCCATTGCTTGTGTTTCTTGGCCCAAGCAGGTCTCTTCTTCTTATTGGTGTCCTTTTAGTAGTGGTTTCTTTGCAGCAATTCGACCATGAAGGCCTGATTCATGCAGTCTCCTGTGAACAGTTGATGTTGAGATGTGTCTGAGGTGCAGTTAACTCTAATGAACTTATCCTCTGCAGCAGAAGTAACTCTGGGTCTTCCTTTCCTGTGTCGGTCCTCATGAGAGCTAGTTTCATCATTGCGCTTGATGTCTTAAAGTAATGATGGACTGTCGTTTCTCTTTGCTGTTCTTGCCATAATATGGACTTGGTCTTTTACCAAATAGGGCTATCTTCTGTATACCCCCCCCCCCACCTTGTCACAACACAACTGATTGGCTCAAACGCATTAAGAAGGAAATAAATTCCGCATGTGAACTTTTAACAAGGTACACCGGTTAATTGAAATGCATTCTAGGTGACTACCTCATGAAGCCGGTTGAGAATGCCAAATCTAAAATATATTTTGATTTGGTTAACACTTATTTGGTTACTACATGATTCCATATGTGTTATTTCATAGTTTTGATGTCTTCACTATTATTCTACAATGTATAAAATAGTAAAAATAAAGAAAAACATTTTACCAGGATTTTGGAAATTCTCCCGAGACCCCATTTTCATATCAGGCAACCCCACATAGGGTTGCGACCCCTAGTTTGGGAACCGCTGGTTTATTCTGTTCATTTGTCTGATCTGTCTCTTTGTGTTTGTCTGACAGGAGTATGTCCAGTTTTTCAGACACAGGCTGAATCACAGTGTGTGCTGGGCAGACAGGATGGAGTTCATTAATGGCTGGTTCATCCTGCTCATCATCAGTGACCTGCTCACCATCACCGGCAGCTTCATCAAGATTGGCATAGAGTCCAAGGTAATACAGAACAATGCATTGCTTTTAGTTTTATATCTTTCCAGGCCTGCGCCAGTCCCCCCCACCCTTAGAATTAGACAGAGAGCAAATAATGTAATTATTAATACAAATAATTACTTTGACTATGTCCTTCAGAACATGTCGTTGTATGATGTGTGTGGGATTCTGCTTGGTACCTCCACTCTGCTGGTGTGGGTGGGAGTCCTCCGCTACCTCAGTTTCTTCCAGAAGTACAACGTGAGTGACGCACATAATCTGTCACACAAAAATGCACACATTGACATTTAAGTTGAATGGCTTTCTGAGGAGGTTTTGCATCACTTCCCACCTCTTTTTCTTTTTCCATGTGTAATTTAGTCTTACGTTTTCTCTTTCCCTCACTCTCAGATCCTGATTGTGACGCTGCGGGCTGCCTTCCCTAATGTAATCCGCTTCTGCCTCTGTGTAGCTGCCATATACCTGGGTTACTGCTTCTGTGGCTGGATCGTGCTGGGGCCCTACCATACCAAGGTATTTGGTCATGGACAGGACATACACATATATATTTGTGTATTGTTAATGAATAATACAAATATATCACAAATAAACTTGTTCTAATATACCAACTCATCCTCCTCTCTGTCCCCGCAGTTCCGCTCTCTGTCCATGGTGTCAGAGTGCCTGTTTTCTCTGATCAACGGGGACGATATGTTTGTGACGTTTGCTGAAATGCAGAAGAGCAGCACGCTGGTGTGGGTGTTCAGCCAGGTCTACCTCTACACCTTCATCTCCCTCTTCATCTACATGGTGCTCTCTCTCTTCATCGCCCTCATCACCGGAGCCTACGATGCCATCATGGTACTGTGGAAGGGAGGGGAGCGGGAGGGATAAAGGATGAGGGGGGGTGATAGAAGGGGAGGATGTGTGATGGTGGGTGGAATGAGTGAATGGAGAAATGCAGGAGACATGATTTTAGGGACATTGAAATAAAAGATGGAGTGTTGATAAGTGCCATATGGAGAAAATGGTGCAATGTACAGAAAGTAGGATGGAAGAAGATTCTTTACAGTAGTTTCATCGAAGCACTCTGTTTGTTTCTCTACAGGCCCAAACCCAGGAGCCGATGCACATCACAGACCTGCATGCATTCATAGCAGAGTGTACTGATACACCTTGCTCTGGAAAGTTCCGTGGCCCAGAGGCATCCTCTTGTTCATTCTTCTGCTACTGTGACTGATGAGGAGGAGAGAAAAGAGGAGAGATGGACTATGTTCATGTGTGTGTCATTCAGGGTTTGATGTTTTTGTCTTTGAAGTAATCTCCATTCCATTGATATAGATTGGTAATTTGTCTCTATATTTCAGATCCACCAGTGGGAGGATGTCTTCCGGGTGATCTGACCTTGGACTACACTGTCCTCTGTAGGATGTGGCGCGCCAGTGCATTTAAATTCACATAGACTGGTACAGTACAACCTACATGTTACTAACTGCTGTAGATCGCACATGAATATTTAAAATGCCAGTTCATTGGGTTTTTATAGTTAACAAGTTACATTCGTATGGCTAGCACATTCTGCTAGCTAATTCATGACTGTAATACAGCTGTCCTTTCAGAGAGGAAACTGATTTTGCACAACGTATATCTGAATATGTCTTACTAAATATGAGTTTTTTTTGGTTTATTTATGGTGCAATTGTTTTGATTTAAATTGTTGATAAGCCTTTGTTGAATTGGGTCTGCATGACCCTATGACTGAGGGACGGCAATGGTTTAATTGTTATTTACTGTGCCTGGGGGCCCTGAACGTTATGATTGTCCTCTGAATCAAGTTTATGACAGATACACACTAACAGACAGGCTGAAACATGCACACCATTATGTACTGAAGGCTACTCCCTATTTTCCTCTTTGGTCCTTTGTTCCCTTCTCCTCCTCTGGATGGGATGACTACATGTTCAAGGACAGGACCTGCAGCCATAGTTAGTCATCAATACGTATGAAGCCTTTGGTGTAAAGAGCCAGGTGACCCTGGCCTGTACACCAATGCACTGCGAGACAGAGCCATAGTGGGTTTTATATTATTATTTTTTTTAACAATGCTAAATGTTGTTTTAAAACCACCCTTATGAATTATTTTGTTGGATGACTGTTGCACCAAAATACAAGGCCAGTAAGGGAGGTTCAGTCTTTATTTTATGAGATATGTCTGACATTGTGATATTGAATTCAGTGCTAATTTATTGAATATCTGTCTGGGCAAATTAATTCTGCAAACCAGTATGTGGTCCAAATCATGATTCACTGAAGGAAAGGGACTGAATTATCTTATTTTATCTGTTTTGTTTGAAAAACCTTTTGAAGTGATAATGTAATTTCATAGTATGAAAGCTCATAGTGACGTTCATTAGGAGAAAAAAGGACTCTCAATGCACAAGATTCATAAGGGATCAAAAGGAAGGGAAGAGTTGTCAGGATAGGACAAATAGAGAAATAATTGATGCCTACCCAGAATGCACTGTTTCTGGTGAAGGTGTGTTTTTCCATGACATGTTTACTTGAATAAATAATCTTTGTATGTGTTGATGACCAGAAAATATGTACATTTTTCAATTCTTTGAATGTTTTTACTTAGTACATTTATCTTGCTTGAGATTGTTATCAGGGACCCATATACGATGAGTCGTGATGACAGAGCTTGAAGCGGTGCTAAATGTCTCATGGCATGCAGCACAGTGGAGCAGCAGAATACTTGTAAGGGGTGTAGTAGTACTGTATTTCTTAACTACATGTGTTTTATACTCTGCTAATGTGATAATTTCTGATGTATTTAATTGGTTTACCTCTTTTTTTCAAAATGTTGTGGGTTGGTTAGACTGATACTAATAATTTTAGTATGGCCAAATTGCTCGACATCTACATTTTGGATGAGCATCTCGCTTGTACAGATTTGTTTTACTTTTTTTAAAGCCGTTCTCGTCTCATGCACTTTTTGTTCAGTACATTGCATTTCTGTGCCACCTCTCTATCGAATACCAGTAAACCTCCTCCAATTAAAACGATTGAAAAGTGTACTGTTTATTTCTACCAAGCAGAGTCCTATTTTCTGGTGATGTGGTCCATGTTATTACATGTAGCTTTTCTGCTCTCTCGTGTCAAGGACATTTACATTTAGTCCTCTTCATAGTCACTGAGGCAGAACAACCATTTCCTTTTGTCAATTATATCGGTTGAGTGGTTGAGTGCTCGACCTGTTATGAACTTTTAAAGGGTAATGTGACAAACTTGCTTTAAGACAGTTTTCTATGTTGGTGGATTCTATGTATATGGATTGATGGTGAATTGTGCTTGTTCAGATGATCATTGGTTCTCATCCTCATGCCAGGGCCTGCCCAGTACAGTGCCCCTGTGACTGTGGTGGTATGATAGCACCACTAGAGGGAGACAGGTGCCTTTTGTCTGACTCTACACAACCTCTACCAGCCAGCCAGTCAGAGGAAATCAATATCTGTCTAAGAGGCCATAAAGAAAGAAGAGGAAACAGAAACGAAGGGGATGAGAGAGGGAAATAGTTTAGAGTAGCTTGTTTTAAAGGGCCAAAATGTACCACACGCCAGTACACTTGCACATCTCAAAACAAAAGATAAGTGAAAGGAGATAACATGGCCTATGTGAGCTTAGATAAATGCACATAATTGAAAAAGTACACAAATATATCAAGATCAGTGCAGAGATCTGCACTGTCAGTGCTCTTAATGTAGCTTAGTCTGAGTGGTATAGAGGAGAGGGGCCCCTGTCCGATACCCTTAGTAGCAGCATGCATTATTAACGGCAGGATACAGCCAGCCAGGGCTGGGAAGCACTCCCACTAACCCATCAACCAGAAACTGGCCTGCCTGGACATCATCAGGTTTCAGGGTAACAATACCAATTAAAAAGAAAGTCCTCTAAAGCTAGCCACATGAGACACAAGGCCTCCTCTATTTTAGTGTTTAGAGTGAAACTAGGTGATAACGTGAGCTGTGTGTGGATTTTACTAGGCTGTGTGCATAATGCAGATGTAAGATAAAGATTGCTGTATCTGAAATGTTCTATTATGACATTTTGTTTTAACATAAGAAACGTTCAAGTCAGCATGTCGCAATGAGATTAGGTTATTATTGACTGTAGTCGAAGTATGTAAGTATATAGCCAGTGTTGTATGTGTGTTACATGTGTTCTTCAAGTGGGTTAGTATGCAGCGTGTCAATGATATGCTGTGTTGGCACATTCTGTTCTCCTGGGAGCCCATGCTCACACAACAGAAGCCGGTGCACTGCTGGCGTGTGCCAACTTGTGAACATGGTATTCAGAGGCATGTAATGAAGATCAGGCTACCATGGACTGTGTGTCGTGTTGTAATGTTTACATCCTAGGTATTCGAAATCCATTTCTCGACTAGAAACACGTCTGTGAATCTCCTTTGAGGATATTGACTATGTCTGATAAGATGGGTGTGTCTCCATCTTTTGTTTTTTGTTTTTGCACAACACCTGCTTCCTCCTTTGTGTGATTTGACTGATATGAGAACAGCCTGTGTTACAGCACTCAAGCTTGTATGTGTGTCACTCTGTGTGTCTGTGCGCAAGTGTTAGTATGTTTGTGTGTATTCCTTGTCAAAGTTAACACAACAACATCCAGAGGCTTGGCTTTGCTTGACTGAGTGTGCGCCAGTCCTTTTGTGCTGCGTTGCCCCATCTGGGCTGCTGGCCAGGGGGAAACAACAATGAGATAAATAACAGGGGAACTGGGTGGCGAGTACACTGCCCTGCCCCTTCCTGTCTCCACTGCAGCGCACCACAGCCTGTGTGGAAAAAACTTCCTCTCTTTGTTGTGCCTGTTTCACCAAGCCAATACGTCCATCACTGGCAGGCCGACACTAGTATAGCACCCCCAAACTCCCACCCTCTTTTCCTTGCCTTTCTGTTTTTCCTCTCCCTATCTTTACTGTGTGTGGTAAAGATGTGTGTGGTAGTTCTTGTTGTGTGGCTACCTCGTAAACTGCCCTTTTCCCCTACT